CTCTCCCTCTCCCTCTCCTCTCTCACTCTCTCTTTAAAAAAAAAAAGAAATGAATACAATTCAAACATATATTAGTAGTAGACTAAATTATGATAAATCTACATAGTGAAAAAAATTTTTTTTATCTCAGTATTCCATTGCTTGCTTGCTTGCTTGCTTATTTATTTATTTATTTATTTAGCTGTTGGGGATTGACTCCATGGCCTTGTGCATGAGAGGCAAGCATTCTACCAACTGAGCTATATCCCCAGCCCCTATATAGTGAAATATTATGCTGTCATTTAACAATTAGGCAGTTCTATAATTACTGATAGTTAAATGATTTACAAAACCCAATATATAGTTAAATAGGAAGAAGTAATGTTAGAAGTTTGTGTGGCTTGCCACTATTTGAATAAAAGGCTTTATAGTTTTAGCCATTTATAAAAGTAATATAGAACCTCTAAGTATTTTTAAATGAATATTATTGAAAATTATTAAAAAGTTAAAATCATCTACATTTATCTCACATTAATATTTTGATGTATAGTCTTTCAGGCCTTACTTGAACATTTGCATATAATTAAGCAGCATTTTTTAAAAGATGGATCACCACATATAAATTACATTTGAAATTTTGTAATCTTTTATTAATGTTTACAGATTTTTAGTAAACAGACAAGTTGATAATCTTAGATGTATACTGTCATTTTAAACCGATATTTGGTATTCCATTATATGAATGTATGATAATTTATTTGACTGATTTCTTATTATTGAACATTTAGATTATATCAGCTTTTCATGCTTATAAATAATGCTATAGTGAATATTTTTGCCTATATAGTATATATATGAGTAGAGGGACTGGTGTTGAATTTTTATGTTGCACTTAATGCTAAACCAAGTAGATTCTGTTATTTGATGAGTCAGTGTTGGGATATTCACACGTGCCTTCTTAAGTTAGTTCTTAGTTTCTGGACCATGACACTAACCTAGCTGATTGATGGTTTCTCAATCAGACTTGCATTTGAATCCCAGGGCTTCTGCTTTCTTCTCAGACCTTGAGAAGTTGGCACACATCCCTAATCTTTGTTTTTCTGATTAAAGGCAAAAATAATGTATTTCAAAGTTTAAATGTAATAATGTAGAGGTGGCACTTAATTTCTTACCTACTCTGTGATGATATGGGGGCATATAAATTTAATTCATAGCACTAGATTGCTATCGATTGGGATCCTTTTGACAAATTGAGAATGAAAATAGAGATAAGTAAGATCTTAAACTATAAAATCTTGCTTGTGGGTTGCAAGGTTGAACATTTAATCTGTTAATTAAACATCAAGTCTGTTCCTAGTGCTAAACTCTCTATCTGTACAGACATAAATGGGGCTTTTCAAAGTGTGGACTGGCAGGTGTTATAGATAACAGTTCTCTGATAAATCACAAAATTATAAATACTTGATTCCCTGCCTTTTTACACTTGGAAGATGCTCAGGTATTGTGGGGAGATAAAGGAAATGTCGAAGATGGCCCAGTTTTGTGCCTTTGAGATAGACCTCTGAAACCTAGCTGTCACAGGAGGGCAGTCTCCTGCAGCTGGGAGAAGTTTTGAGCATCCAGCAGATATTCTTATAATAGAAGTGTATAATCACCAGCAGCCCTAGGTGTATAAGAGGTTTTTAAAAAGCTTTACATAATAGGGGCTGGGGATATAGCTCAATTGGTAGAGTGCTTGCCTTGCATGTACAAGGCCATGGGTTCGATGCCCAGCACCACATGCACACACAAAAAATTGGCAAATCTTACTGTATGTTAATTGTACCTCAATAAAAAAAAATTGACACAAAAACATTGTTTTAAAAAAAAGCCTTACATAGAAATGTTTATTGTAGTATGATTTCTGGGTTTTGGTTTTTGTTTTGAAGCTGGTCCATGAGACAGATAGCTAGAAACAATTTTGATAACAATTTATCTTTTTGAAATAACCAGCAACTGTGCATTTGAAACATGTAAAAGTAGGACCAAAGTTAGGTTATGTTCTATTCATATATATGATCACCTTTTAAAACCTGCTAAATAGTTCGTGATGTTAATCATACAGTAAAATTCAAATGAAACTTGTTCTAATACTGAACCTTTCTAAAACAAGCAAATATTCACAACCAATTATAGTACAGATTGAAAAGTTTCATTATGAATTCCAGTAACATGACTAATTATATTTTAAGAGCTGGCTCTACTAAGCAAAGTTTAGAGGTTTTAAATTCCTGAATTGTGACATTTTCCTTGTAAATTCTCCTCTTCCTTTTATTCTCTTTTGTTTATTTTGAAAGATAATTCAGAACAAGTTCATAAGTAGCCATTTTAAATGATTTTTAATTTTAGGGGGATATTTCACAGATTGAAAAGGAATACCAAGTATTACAAGAGCAGCTTAAGGAAGCATGTGAAAATTATGAGCAGATAAAACTCAACAGCTCAGAAGAGACCAGAGACCTGGAAGAAAAGTTGAAAAGGAACTTAGAAGAAAACAAGGTAATCCTGTCTGAAGCCCTCCTTAATTGCATGTGACATAACTGGGAACATATAACTGTGCTTATGAGCCTCCCATTAGCTGAACCACACCGTTGGCTAAACAGAGAGGACTCTTTCTTAGAACAGTCTCTTTCAAATTTCTGTACTGCATATTCAAGTGACAGTGTACCTTGCAGTGCTATAAAACCTTTGCAATCTGGTTTTGAGAAAAGGGCTGTAAACATTAGCTTTCGTTTATCCATAATTCAGTTTACCTGGTTAAGTAAAAATCTCTCTCAAGGTGACTAAGTTCCAAGTTATATTTCTGCCTGTGCCTCTGTATCAGAGCTTCCAAGTGTGAGCTGTCAGTCTGGCTCCAGGGCTTAGCTCCAGACTGTTTTTATTCAAATAGTTCTAGTCTGCACATGGCTTAACTTGTCTGGGCCCTTGTGAAAAATTCGGGTAATAATTGCTCCATTTCATGGGTTTAGATTAACACTTGTAAAGTACTTAAAACTGGCTGGTACAAAGTAAGGACTCAGTAAGTATTGCCTGCCACTATTATCACTATTGCTGTTATTACCATCATCTTCATCTATTTCCAAGGACACGTGACAAAACTCATGGGGAGCCTTGGAGATGTTAGAACTTCTCATCTAAAGTATCTTATTTGACTATACTGGTATTTATTGTGGTAGTTGAGATTGACCATCAGTAAGAGGCTAGTGGAATAATACTAATTAGGGGAAAGGCCAGATTACAATTTGTGGGACAGTGGAATTATAGATGTGAGGAACATTGGTAAATTACTTTTTTTTTCCTTTTGGTTTGTTACTTTTTAAAAACAACTATCTTCTGTTCAGAAACAGAAGGAGATTAATTATTTAAGAAGGGAAGAATTTGTTTCAGAAGTCTGGATTACCAGCTAAAATAACACATAAAATACTGAAAATCAGCTTAGTGGGACATTTAATCAAGAAACTCATTTGTTGAGATTTAAGAATACACAGAAGAAAGGGTTAGTTTGTAAAAGTAACTACCATAATATTTCCCAAGAACTGTTTGCACTCAGGACAGGACTAAGGAGATTCCAAGGATGGGAAGAGTTAGATGCAGACACTTTCTGCTTAATTGTCTGGTTGGGGAAGGGAAAAAAAAAAAGTCCTGTCTAGCATGTGACACCCAGAACACAAGTCTGAGTAAACCAGTTGGAAGGTGTAACAGAATTAAATATTTTTTATATTGCCTCAGGCAGATTCAGTAAATCAGTGTGAATGTCTGTGGCCATCTGTGTGAGTAATAAGGCAGATTTGGGGAAATGAACACTTATGTAAGGGTGGGTGTTTAATGAATGAAACTATTTTTTTCTGGCAGAGGCTTTTCCAATTTTATAAACTGGTAGTCTAACTAGGTGCTTGCTATGACAGTAGAATCCATTTTGATATCATTAAACAAGCATGAAATATATCTTATTCTAGTTGGATTCTTGAGGATGTACATGATGTTGGGATTCAGTGTGATATTTTTATATATGTACATAGGAAAATTATGTCAGATTGATTCCACTGTCTGTCTTTTTTCTATCTCCACCCCCCACCTCCCTATTGTCTTAAGCTACTGAACTTAAATTCTCCACCCTCCCACCCAGGGCTCTGTTGTTTGTATGGTTGATCAGGAAGCTCATGGGACAGAAAGCTTCCAGGGAAGAAGGCTGTTTTGGAGTGGCAGCTATGACTGCTGGGCTCTGGCTCTTGTGCTTTTTAACTTGGTACAGCCTTGGATCTGCTGTCATGTGGCTGTACTAAAGTTAGTCTTTTTTTAAAAAGGGCAATTATTTAGTACCTCAGATTATAGGCTTGTAAGGTAATTATGATTACCAAATGTACCTATTTCCTGTCAGGATAAATTGCTAACCTGATTTTTTTTGGTTGGTATCTACACAAAAGCAGATAGAATTTAGCCATGGTATTTCTTTATTAAACATAAGACAGCTATGTCATTAATGGGTGGTTAGTACAAACATGAGCCTGGGTAGTATTTTTATTGGCTGAGGTGTGTGTGTGTGTGTACATGCATACATGTAGGTGCAATACTTTGTGGCTTTTGTTATCTGATCTCCCTTAAATACTTGTTGCCAAGTAGGTCCTCATGCTCCAGCATAACCTTGTTTTGCACATAATCTCCCAGCCAAAGAGTTTAGATCCACGGTGAGATCAGTGGCTCAGAGTGGAAAAACAAGATAGACAAGAAACAAAGTTGGCCAGGCTGCCAACAGTAAGGCAGGCAAATCAACATCAGTCTAGAGAGTAGAATTGAACCATGTAGACTACAAGATTTTGTAAATACAGTAGATTTGGGGGAGTTACTGTCACAGTAATGCCTTGACAAATTCAGGATCAGAAGGTTTTAGCAAGGAAAATGTGGGCAGGACTTGTCTCCAAAATTTGGAGAGCATTACTGAACTGTTGTTGTACCAATGCCACCTAGGAACAGTAGGCTGTGTGTTTCACAGCTGTCTAAATCACCTTCCCTCTAGTTAGGACTCAAGTCTTAAAAAGGAACTTAACCAATGTAGCCAGCTGGCCGAGTTAGCAACTAAAAAACCATACAAACACAGAAATACCTTTTTGGGGAGTCAGGGATAGCTCTGAGACTTCAGTTGTCAGCTCCCACACTTGGAAGGCTATTTATCGGGTAAGGACATTCAATAGAAAGTTTCACCTAAATAAGGCAAGGAATTGGGTTTTAAAGAGTGGAGTCTTGGTTGATGGTGTCTTGTGGTCAACAGATTGACATCTTGGCAAGTCACACCCATCTCAGGTGCTGTGTGGGATCACAGGCAGTGTGAGAAAAAAGACACACATGTGTCACACAGCCCCTAAAGGACGTAACGCCAGACCAGTTCTCTCATATGCTCAAATGCACATAGCTCACACAGCCCATGGATGGCTTGCAACAGACCAACCAGCAAATCTGCTTCCCAAGAAGTTGAAATTGCATATCTAAGGCTAAAGATGGAGAAATGCTTCTAAGTCACTATCACTTCTGACTCCAGGGCCATTATTTCCCATGAAGTCTGTATGTGATGACTTTAGGATTCAACGTCCTTCCTAAGGAAGAAGGCCTAGTGTCTTAGATATGTTCTGAGCCTAAGGAGGAAGTTCAAGCTGTAGGGAACCTGACAGGAAGTAAAACATCAAATGTTCCCCTAGAGCAAATATGAAGTCAGGATTTCATTAAGCAACCATTGATAATAGTGGGATTTCAAGCTGGGAAATATTTAACATGTTGCTTTTAGCTATTTCTTTTAATAGTGCTCTGATTCATATTCTCTTTCTTAAGAGATTTTTTTATTTATCTGTGCCCTGTATTTACGAGCACATGTCATACCCAGATCCTTCACTGCCATTGAATGGATGATGCTTCAAAAAGGACAAAAAACTTTTAGAACATTTGTAAGTTCAGATGTTTCAAAAAGTAGCACCTGCAGAAGAAACTGGCAAAAAGGGCTATGTGTCAGTTGGCATTGAATCTGACCCTCCAGGAGGAAAGGAACTCACATCACCTCAGAAGACCTTTTCATTTCTCTTTATCACACAGCCAACCCAAACACCTTTAATAAAAAGCCAGAGAAGGATCCAAGATGGCAGGCTAGAAGGAGGCTTATTCTGTGTTGCTCAGTGACTTGGAATACTTTTTCTCTGCGAGTGATTAGAGGACCCCAACAGCTACTCCCTCGCAGTAATCCTGGCCATGGTTTCCATGCAGGACACCTGGCTGCTGCCCATGCACAGAAACTCTGGCCACCACTGCCTTGTGGACCATAGTGTACCAGTGTGGGGCTTCCCCAGTCACCTCCATCTTGGGACATTGCAACCACTGCCATACTCCCCTACACACAGTTGCTTGTACCTAGGGGCAGCACAGCCCTCAGCCACAACACTGTATGTCACACAGCTGTATCTCTGAACAGGCCACACACCACCACTGCCCGACCCCACCTGACCAGACACCCCATAGCAAAAGCAACCACTTCCATCTTGGGACATCTTCATTGCCATCTTTAGTTGAGATAACCCCCAGCTTGGAACACCGGCTGGGGCTTAGAAGCAATATCAAAGATAGGTATTGGAATGCTGCAGGGACACTGTAAGCTTATAGGGTAAATATATGCCTCGGACCGCAGTGCAATAAGAGAAGACACAAGAACAACATGAAAAAACAAGGGAAGAAAGTGCCCCAAACAAACCAAGATACTACATCATTAGAATCCATGGCCAGCACAACAGAAGAAATGACAGAGAAGGAGTTTGGATGTACAGAATTTAAATGTTCTTTGAATTAAAGGATGATATAAGAGAACAAATACAGGCAGCAAAACATCATTTCAATGTAGAGCTACATAAGCAAATACAGAAAGCAAAAGATTACTTTAATAAGGAGATACTGGTCCTGAAAAAAACCCAAACAGAAATCCTTGAAATGAAAGAAACAATAAACCAAATTAAAAACTCAGTAGAAAGCACCACCTACAGATGAGAACTCTTGGAAGACGGAACCTCAAGATGATGAAGACAAAATATATAATCTTGAAAAGAATGTTGACCACACGGGGAAGATTATAAGAAACCATGAGCAGAATATTCAAGAATTATGGGATAACATCAAAAGGCCAAATTTAAGGGCTGGACTGGGGCTGCGGCTCAGTGGCAGAGCACTTGCCTAACATGTGTGAGGCACTGCGTTCGATCCTCAGCACCAGATAAAAAACAAATTAGTAAAATAGAGATATTGTGTCCATCTACATCTAAAAAAATTCTAAAAGAAAAAAGTTTAAGAATTATTGGGATCGAAGAAGACATAGAGTTACAAAGGTATGAACAATCTATTCAGTGAAATGATATCAGAAAAATTTTCAAACATGAAGAATGAATTGGACAATCAAATAAAAGAGGCGTACAGGGCACCAAATGGACAAAATCTCAATAGATTCACACCAAGTTACATTATAATGAAAAGGC